AATCCAGAACTTCATCTCATACTGTATCCGTCGTAATTGCACCTGATGTCATTACCGCTGAAGATTATACAGATATCCTAGCTCTCGATTTGAACGATGATGATAGTAAGGATCTGTTAGAGGATGGACAAGGCGATAGTCGGAGGCCATCCGAAGCGGCCCCGATCTACGAAAAGAAGCTGTCAATCAAGAATTACTATACAAAGCTGGAGTCCAAAACGTATGATTCGGCCCAACAAAAATATAATAAGATATTAGAGGCCGCACAGCGGGAAATGATTGTGGAGCAGAACTTATGTGACATCGTCCGACATATAAATGCAAAGGCAAACGCAATGGCTAAAGCCAAAGCAGAAGCTCTGACCATGACAGACGGACAAAACAATGAAGTTGAAGGGCCACAGAAAAAAACAAAAATACGAAAGACTAAAGGTAAATCGAAAACGGATCCAGTGAAAGAGTCAGTGAACATCGGTGATACCGATTCCGATAGCAGCATCTCAATCAAGCATTTGAAGAAATTGAGGAAGTTTCAACGGATGGCTGCGACAGCAGCAAAGGGCAAATCTCAAATGAGTATGAGGCGTCGCTTATCATCACTTATATACGGAAAATCTCTGACAAAACACAAGAATCAATCCCAACAATCGCTGACAAAGCGCAAACCCCAGCAGACACAGCGAGCACAGTCGGAGCCAGTGCTGCAAGGCTCGAAATCGAAATTGACATATTCAGCCGAGACCAAGGACACGTCGAAAAGCAGCGAACATGCAAATAAATCTTTAAGGAAAAGGATATCTATACATTCGGTTCCGACGCCAACAAGGAATCCATTCGTCTCATTTCCACACTTCTATGGGAGAATGCTTAGTTTCATGTCGCTCAGCACAAGGGCCTCACAATCATCAGGTGATAGATTAGGTATAGGCAGTCCAGGTGACAGCCCACCGATCGATATCGAAGCGCATGTCATCAATTTCATGAAAGCGAACAAAATGACGTGGGACATGTTCAAGGCGCTGCCCCACAACTGGCCCTGTTCCTACGAGTCCGGCATCATTCAGCGCATGCGCAACGCGGTGAAGACCAACAAGAAGAGGACCAAGGCTGCGGCCAGAAAATCGAAGCGAAAGAAGAAAAGAACAAGTAGAAATGCAATCAAAATGCCAGAAACCAACGAACCAAACCCTGCCAAAGTCAGCTGTGGCATATGCCGTGGCCTAAAGGCAACGCTGCCCGAGGCACCGTATATGATGGAGATGCGTAAGCGTATGGAGCGCGACGAATTGAAGCAATTCTATAGATCTCACTTGATGGCCAGCAATCCATGGTCGAGCCGCTCATCGGCTAGTGAGAGCACACAAAATCCCGAGGACTTCATTTCCCAAACCCCATGGAAAGCTAAGCAAACGCTGACACAGAAGCTGATGGCGTGCTATCAGGTGCTAAGCGAGTGTGAGAAGCGCTTAGACAATAAGTTGATTCAATTGCAATGCGAGTTCTAGCTGTGGCCTGTGCTGTGCTTGAACTAGTTCAATGTACCACGAAAGTGAACTAGTTCAAGCACAGCACAGACTACAGTTGCAGAGCAACCCAGCAATCTTTTAACTATAATAAATATATACATGCATGTTCATTTTAATTGCGCAGAAGCCTTAAAGACAATTATTAATAAATAAATTTTACAAAAAAAAATATTATTTTATTTAAAGCATTTTATTTTTCATTGCAAAATGTGAATACTTCGATTTATGTCAATCAAAATGACAAACATTTCTGCACTTCTAACAATTATAAACAAAAACGAAATTATTTTTATCCAAAAAACACTAAAAAAAAAAAAAATCTAAAAAAAAAAAAAAAAGAAAGTGAACGAAAATTCCTAGTGTAAAGATGAAAGTGCTGCAAAGCAGCGACATTCTGAGCTCCGAAATCGATCGCGCTCAATGTCAATTGCAGCCGTTGCTGCTGGATCGCAGCTGTTTCGTGAAGAAACTCGGCCAACTGGATCCGTCTCAGATCGACCAGCTCGATTGGAATAATTTGAACAAGGATTTCTGTGAGTACTGGAACTATTTCGCCAGCGACGACAAGAAGCGCCAGCACGTGCTGCGCCAGATTGTCGACCCGAAAACGAACATCGATCGCAGCATCGAGGAGAAACGGGCAGCATCCCTTCTCAAGTACATCAGCCAGAGCAGGCAGCAGACGAAGGGCGAGCAAATAGTTTCTGATCTGCCCGTTGAGAAAGCAGAATGTAGAATTTCTGATGAGTTTATCAAATGCTTTCGTGACGGGCAGAGCAAAGCTAATGCTACAGTGAAGCGTCGCAAGTGCGAACGAGCCGAACCAGCTCCAGCAGGCTACCAGAGCGAGAAGCGTGCGATTTTAAAGCAACTCAAAGTCTGCCGAAATCCCTATGAAGTAGAGCTCTTAAAGCAGAAACTGAGGCGCCTCAAGGAGCTGGAGCAGCGCAGGTGTGAGGCTCCCGAAAGGCTGCTTAGGATTAGCAAAAAAACAAGCGAACAAGCTGACAATTTGTACGGCCTCAGCAAAGCTCCAGCTGACAGAGCTCCCAAGCCATTGAAGGAGAAGTTTCTGCCGTATAATACCATACCAGAAAACCATCTGCAGAAGAAAAGTCAAGTCGAGCGTAAGGCAAGGCCAACCTATATTGAAAGCATGCACAAACACAATCCATGGAATGCAGCCAATTTTGATGCAGCGATGCAGGCGGCTCGAGAAAAAAGGGGCAAACCCAAAGATTCTCCTTATACAACTAATTACCAAGAGCAATTGCAGACGTATGAAGCGAAGCTAATGAAAATACAAACTAAAAATCAGCACAATAATTTTGCTAAGGATCAGAAAGTCCATGAAGCTCAACCAGTAAAAGTCAAACCCCAAAGATCCTTGCAGGAAAATAAGAAGAATTTCAAGAACCCAAAAGCAGAAATTTCCATAAATTACTTCAGCAAAGAACAAATAATAAATAGAAGTGAAAACCTTTTAAGTTTCATTAAGAAAGAAAACACATGCGATAAACCCAAAGAACCTACTGCAACGAAATCCAACGATGTTTTTCACTTTTCACGCAGACAAAGAAAATCGAAGGGAAGAAAGAGAAAACATAAAAGTCGCGAGCCTCGTACATCAGAGCGCTCAGCTAAGCAGTCAGGAAAATCCGCAAAAGAAAACCAAAAATCACAGACAACTCCTGCAAGACAGGCAAACGCCTCAGGCACACAGCAATATCGAACAGATCTGCAGACCTTGCAAAACTTTGAAAAGAAACTGAAAAAACTCAAGAAACTAATGAAGAACAAAAAGAGGGAAATAAATGCAATGATGGAAAATGAATTCGAGCAGCGAGAAATGAAAATGAATAGCGAAAAGGAATACGAAATAAATCTGAAAGTGTTAAAGGCATTTGAGCAAAAAATTATTGATCTTAAGCAAACGAATGAGGCAAACAAACAATCGAAAAGGAAATCGATTCATGTCGATGCCATTGAGGAACTGAACAAGCATGTCAGAAGACTATCCAAATATAGCATTGATAAGCAATCGACACAAGTTCATGATGAAGACACCAAGCTCAAGGTAATTTTACTTAATGAAAACTACAACAAAAAATCTGTGAAAAACAGATTGAGCTCTAAGAACAAAGAACAAACCTCGCAAGCTTCAATCCAACTACAAAATTCCGATGATATGTCGTTTAATCGAAAGTGCAAGAGAAGCTCTAAGAAATCTCTTCACTCCCATCAAAAACAAAATATATTGGAAATCGAGAAACTGATACAGAAAGGGAATGAAATTGAAAGTAAAGTGAGTACGCAAAAATTCCAGAGGTTGGGCAAAGAGAATCATCCACTAAGTGATAGACAATTCCATAATCGAATACGTTACGAAAACCTTTTGACTATGCTAAAAAATATTGCAGAGATGTTGAAAAATCAACAGCTACGCGAAGTTCTGCAACATGTTAAAAGTCTTAAAAAGTTGATTGACATTGAGCAAAAGTCGCCAGAGAGTCTAATTGATATAAATGATTTGCAGCAATTGCAATATCGTGTGGAAAATCTATTGTACTTAAGCAAAATCGAAAAGAACAAATTGAAATTGCAGAGGCAATCTCTAGATAAATTAACTAAACTCAAAAAAACTAAATCATATTTGAAATATTCGAGTAGCACCAAATATTTGGCAAGTGTAAAAAAAATGCAAATGCTTAAAGAGCGTGCAACTGATTCTTCTTCTTCCGCTTCTGCCAAAGATTGCCGAGGTCAGGAGGTCAAACGTAGCAGAAGACAAAGCCGTATTTTAGGTGGCAACAACAACAGTTTAGTTTCTCTAGCCACAAATTTGGATACCCAAACATTGGCAGCCAATGCAGCGCCTGAGCAAGTGGAAGCCATTCTACCGCAGGATTTGCAAAATTTTCTAATTGAACAAAGAAGACGAAATAGTCATGCGAGTATTGAAAGCACACAGATGAAATTAGATGCAATAGACAAAGCAGAGGCGAATCACAATCAGAATAATGCAGAAACTTTCGAAATGCCAGCAGATGAAAAGCACGAAATTCGCACGTTTTTGTCGTTGAACAAAGTCGTTGCCTATAAAAATCCTTATGGACCACAGAAGACGCTCGATAATGTTATGCAAACTGATAAGCAGAGGACAAGCACCGACGGCCATTGGCCAATGGCAAATCCTCAATTGTCAATGCCATTCGTTGCGCCAATAGCCAAAATATCACTGCAAAATCTGGTTAAAAGAACACAAACTAAAGAGAAAGCCAAACAAAGGAAATCTGTGGAGAAACATCCAGTGCATCATTCCCATCCAACAGAGATAAGATCGAAAAGTCTTGAACTGCTGCAACTAGTCAACCCCAAGCTGCAGAAACAATCGAGTTACTCGACCCAAAGCATTTCAAGCGTCAACGAGCAATCGAAGCGGAACACCAAACTAGAAATGACAACGATAGAGAGTGAGGATCAGTTAGAAATCGAAGAAGAAGAAGCATCGCGAAATGATAGTGAAATATGGGGTATATTGAAGCAACATCCCCCACTGCCCATGCAGCCGTATATGCACGAAATGCTGCGCAAGCTAAAGACACTCGATCTGCGCATCTATTACCGCCAGATGATGAGGTCCAGCTGCAGCGCTGCGAGTGAACAGCAAGACTCTTCCAATTTAAGTATCTGCGGAAATTGATCAAATCAAGCAAGAGCTAAACTAGCAATAGACTTTTGAGATTCGACTTCAATTTGTGCAGAGACCTAAATGGGAAAAGGTGAAAAGTTTTTGTTCTGTCCGAACCACACAAAGTGTACGATTTCTGTGTGTATAATAAATTTTAAAAGTAATTTTATAGTTATTTATTTATTTATTTTATGGCGAAGAATATGTTTATTTAGTAACTTAAATATCTTTTTAATTATTTTATTTTTATTTTATTACTTTTATTACTACTTTACTCAATGCTCTTCAATTTAGTAAACAAATTTTGATAACTAGATTTAAATAGCAATAAATATTAAATTCAACATTATTATGATATATAGATAGAAGATTATAGGGAAATAATTTGTAGTTTTTTATTTTATTTTATTTTTTTATTTATTTATTTTTTTTAAGGTTACATAAAATATTTATTAGTTTAATATATAGTTGATTCTATAATAGTAATTCTATAAAACCTTAGTTATATTCTATAATATTTTGCTTTCTGTTCGATCGCTCGTCAAATGATTTTCTTATAAATAATTTGGTAAGCAACGGAAAATCCTTATTATTCAAGCTGTCTGATTAAGAGTTATTTCTACTTATATGTGCACACGCAAAAGAACAGTTTTAAATATTCATGGTTTGACCTTTTCGTGACTCTAGAGATGTTTCGCCTTATGCAAATGCCAAACTGTTTGAATAATGTCAGGTGCATCGCATCAAACGTGAACCGCTTGAACCGCCATTGCGTTGTTCTACTTTTTTTTGTATTCATGTTAAGCAATTTTTTATCTTTTTTTTATATTTTTTATTTAAGTATTTTTAGCATTTTTTTAGTATTTTCACTGTGCTAAAGGCAATACACAACAACCATTTTATAAGCAGGCGCGTTTACAAGCCAGCAAACAAAAATAATCACAGCGGGGCTAAAGCAAAAACATAAAACTATAGCAACTCGAAAACAAAAAGTTAGACCAATAAAATACCCTATAAAAATAGGGTTTTAAATACTTTTTTAATTAAAAATCAATTTGAATTATTGATATATGTATGGATGATTTATAAATATATAAAGCCAAATGTTTATTCAAGCGACAATGCCCACAACAAATGTCCATTGCCTACGGATTATCTAAAATTTATTAAACTTTAGCTAAGCATAAACAGGACTGAAGTTAAGACCCATAAAATATCCGCTTATTCCAATTTAGATAAACCCATGACCCAAAATTTTATGTTTGCGTAGTATTAAAATCAGAGCAACAACTGCGTGTTAGTCCCTGGACCAAAACAAAAATGAAATGAAAACTCGGTCAAGTGCCTTAGATAGACAGCCAAAGCGAAATATGTGCATAAAAGCAAAATATGTGCATAAAAAATTTAAATTTTAGTAACAAAAAATAAAAAACTGTGTAAAAAACTGCAACTAGCTGTTGTTTCTAGTTTGTTAATTTTGATGCTAAGCAATGCGCGTTTATTGTCGAGTTTTTTATGGCTGCCTTTTATGGCTTTAAACCGCAGCCAGCTAGAAAGCCATGCAGGGAGAGTGAGAGAGACAGAGAGCGCCCTGAAAAGTATGCTATAGAAATGTTTTGCCGAGCTCAGAGTGCAAACAGCTTGGGCCGGAAGGGGGGTGGGGTAAGGAGGGGTCACGCGGCTGAAGTTGAGGTTCAGCTGTTGATATTAATGCTGATGACAGGTGCTGGCAGAAGCTGTCGTCCCGGCCAGGTGAGGAAATTCATTTACGACCAATTAAATAGCTGACGCAATGGCGAGAAGAAAACGTAAATGAAAATATGAAATGTGCGCGCTCTACCTCTGTCTATATCTAGCTCCCCCTCACCCTCACTCTCTCCCTCACTCTGTGCGTGTGTAACTCATAAATTGACTTAATTCATATATTTAACGAGCTAGCCAATTAAATACATTCAATTTGTGTGTTTTTTATAATTTCAACAAGAAATTTTTTCATTCGCCTGAATGATTGCATTAATTGTTCATTTCATTAGGTTGGCTTTGCAAATGAAATTCTACGCTAATTATATAATTTTAATTTGTTTTCGCCACCACATGCCAACATGCTTAGCAAAGTTACTAACTAATGTGTATCTATCAAGAAATTCATTAGAATTCCAGATTTAACATTCATTTAGCAGTGTTGCTTAATTCCAAATAAAATTCTTGGAACTCATTCCGCTTTTAGTATATAATTTATGCTAAAATAATTAGAAATTGTGCGTATTTCATAAATTTAGATGTGAAGTTGGACTTGGAATGTGTATAGTATACTAAGAAAGTTAGACTAAACTGTTATCTTAGCAGCTGTATTTTAATTAGAATTTCAGAATATGTTAATCGAAAATACTCTCACTCGTTATTCAGCTCTTATAAATATATGCGAAGCATAACAACTGGATGTATGCTACCCTCGCCTCAGCTCTCTCTTTGCAAACTGAAAATTCTCCAAATGCTATTGCTTGCAAATATTGACAAGGTGTAGAGAAAACGTCAGTCATTCGGCAAATCATTTGATCAAACAGAAAATATAATATTACATATCAAAAAGTTATCAATACAAATTATTACTTTGTATATCATATATACGTCTAAAGGAAATCAACTAAGACATCTCTTTGAGATAGATTTTCATTCCTAGAATTAAGTATATAAAATATATATATCACATTTCTATAATAATATCAAATATTTTTGCACAGCTTCAATTTTCCCTTAAATTGCAAAAGCCAATTAGATTTCAGTTTAAATCCATTTTGTTATTCAATACAAATCAAGGAATATTAATTTCCGCTATTTCCACGGCGCAGAAAATTCAACTTATTAGCCTTTGACATTTATATTAATTTATTTTCTTCTTCACAATTTTTTTTTTTTTTTTGCCAATTAGATTGCGTTAAGCCAAAAATTTTTGCCAATCAGTGGCACGTAATACACACTCACACACGCACGCATAGACAAGCATCAATCAATCATACGCCGCGTGCACCGTTGCCATATCAAAAATGTCTTCATGACAATGTTGCTCAATAATCACATCCACCGCAAAAACCGCAAAAAAAAATGGAAAATTTGCACATATTCCCGCGAATATGCGTGTGTGTGTGTGTGTGGGTGGTGGCACATTTCAATGCGGCTTTGAAATGCAAATAAGTGTGTGTAAAGCGAATTTCGTACACAAGTCGCAAATCAAAGTGCACACACCTACCTTTTCGTCTCGAACAGCTGCGCGTGAGAGCAGCTCGAATTTTGTTCTTTGCTTCCTTCTGCGGTTTTGGCCTTCAGGCAGCGGCCTGTTTAGCGGTTGTAATTGTTGTTGTTGTTTTGTCGCTTGTTGCTTGTTGCTTCTTCAATATTGGTTACACATATACAAACACTTTTTTTTAACCGACATTGCGCAAATTCGTTTGAGGTGGCATGAAAAATAAATCAAGCAAGCGACATGTACTTACATAAAAAAAAATGATTAAAATATGAAAAGCAAAGAGCGCGTGAAAGACTTTCCAAAAGGAAAAGATAACAGCTTAGTTGATAAACATTTTGGTACAGTAAAAGCACGCTGAAAGGCTGCAAGGCTTGTTAACAGGATTTTCTTAAATCGGTCCTATCATTATTTAGCAACTATTTAAAATTTAAAAAAATAAAAATTTACAAGCTAACACAAAAAAAAAATTGTAAATA